AGCTGGTATACTCCTTCAATAGGTGGCAAGAGAAATCTGCTTCCTCACCACAAGCACAATATCAATTATGCTGAATGTTATATTACCCATATAAATTCAGGTAGGTAGCCATGTTGATCTGAAGTAAGAGAACAAAGTTTGAGTCCAGTGGCACCTTTAAGACCAACAAAGTTTAATTCTGGGTATAAGCTTTCATGTACATGTACACTTCTTCAGATGCATTGAAACAGACTTTGCTAGCCACTATGTATAGGTATAGGACCTCAAGAGCCTCTTGCTCAGGATAAAGAGGAGAGCGCAAAAGTGGGCTTGAGGCTCAACATCAAAAAAACTAAGATCATGGCATCCGACCCCATCACTCCTTGGCAAATAGAAGGGGAAGTCGTGGAAGCAGTTACAGACTTCACGTTCCTGGGATCCCAGATCACCGCAGACTGTGACAGCAGCTATGAAATTAAAAGACGCCTGCTCCTTGGGAGGAAAGCGATGGCGAACCTAAACAGCATGATAAAAGTAGAGACATCACCCTGCCAACAAAAGGCCGCATGGTCAAAGCAATGGTATTCCCAGTAGTCATGTATGGCTGCGAGAGTTGGACTATAAGGAAGGCCGAGCGCCGAAGAATAGATTCTTTTGAACTATGGTGCTGGAGAAGACTCTTGAGAGAGTCCCTTGGACTGCAAGAACATCAAATCAGTCAATCCTAAAAGAAATCAACTCTGACTGTTCCCTGGAAGGCCAGATAATGAAACTGAAGCTCAAATACTTTGGCCACCAAATGAGAAGGGAGCACTCACTGGAGAAGACCCTGATGCTGGGAAAGATTGAAGGTCAAAGAAGACGGGGACGGCAAAGGATGAGATAGTTAGACAGTGTCATCGATGCAACGAACATGAAATTGAGCCAACTTCAGAGGACGGCGGAAGACAGGAGGGCCTGGTGGAAGCTGGTCCATGGGGTCGCAAAGAGTTGGACTCGACTGTGCGACTGAACAACAAAAATGTATAGGTAGAATGGGGTGTTAGTCACGAAGAAGGGCTAATTGGAGTCAAGATGCATAAGTAACTAAGTGATAAGTATAGCTAAGATTGGATTAAAGCAGTTGGTAAAACCTGTGAATAGAAGCAAATTAGCATACAGATAATAAAAGAATTAACAAATGTGAGAACTGAGTGACTTAGCATGTGTAGTGAGATAAGAACCCGATATCTCTGTTAAACCCTGGGGGTCCCATTGTCCTGAGTGTTGTAATAACTTGTAATTCAGCAATCTCCCATTCCTTTGCAATAAAACAGCTACTTTGAGGTCCCCCATTTAGTGTCCTAGGAAGTGGAAATGTTCTCCTACATGTTTCTCAGTTTTGTCAGATTTGTTTCCATTTATCCTTTGGTGTAGGGTTTGAGCTGTTTGCCCTACGAAGAGAACTGAACAGCATTGTTGGCATTTAATGTCATATATACAATGCTAGAAGACTAGCAGGTGAATAAGCCTGAGATGTTGTTCAAATTAGATGTTGTATTATTGTGGATGAGGAGTTTGAACATGGACACTGGTACCAGAGCTTGCAAGAAACCCAGATGCCAACTTTGCTGCCGCATACACCCAGACAACACAATCACTGGACCAAACAACTTCAACTACACCCTCTCAGGCTCATTTACTTGCTCATCTTCTATTATTGTATATATATGCTATTAAATGCCAACAATGCCCTTCAGTTCTCTACATAAGGCAAACAGCTCAAACACTACACCAAAGGATAAATGAAAACAAATCTGACATGAAGAATCACAAAACTGAGAAACCCGTGGAAGAACATTTCTACTTCCCAGGACACTAAATGGGGAATCTCAAAGTAGCTGTTTTATTGCAAAGGAATTTCAGAAACAGACTAGATTGGGAGATTGCTGAATTATAAATTATTACAGCACTAAGGACAATGGAACCCCCAGGGCTTAACAGAAATATCGGGTTCTTAAGTCACTCAGTTTTCGCATTTGTTTGTTAACTCTTTTATTGTCTGTATGCTAATTTGCTGCTATTCACAGGTTTTACCAACCACTTTAATCCAATCTTAGCTATACTTATTACTCAATTATTTATGCATCTGCTCCAATGAAACCTTTCTGGCCACTAACCCCCCACTCTCTACCTATATGTAATGTTTGGCGAAGTCTATTTCAATGTATCTGAAGAAGTGTGCATGCACATGAAAGCTTATACCCAAAATTCAACTTTGTTGGTCTTAAAAGTGCCATTGGACTCAAATTTTGTTATATTACACATATGTACAGCAGAGGGCAGCAAATGCAGTGTTAGCAAGGAAAGAGGGTTCCTTAGCATAAATCTAAACATATTATATAATTTAACTTAATTTGATACCAAAGACCAGTTTTAACACTAAAGAATTATACTCAACAAATATTTCTATTGTCTTCATAATAGCTGACACATCAGAACTTGGAAAATCTATAGAAAATGATAAATAAGCTGCTTGAGTTTTTCAGTGAGCTCAATGGGCACTTTGGGGTAATCAAAATACAACAGGATTCGTCTATCTTCTGCCATCTGAATGTGTTTTAATTGACAATTAAGAAAATAAGTGGATTCTCAGGTCCATTTCAGTTTATAGTAAAACAGAAGAGTTGTACTTTTGAGTGACTAAAGTACCAGTTTGGAACTGTGACCTGAAATTATTTCTTCGCGGAGACATGGGATGCATATAGCATCTGAGGTATTCTTTAGTTTCCAGGATTTCTGTTTATTCATTTGGTCAGTTTGGTGTAGTGGTTAAGTGCGCGGACTCTAATCTGGGAGAACCGGGTTTGATTCCCCACTCCTCCATTTGCACCTGGCTGGATGACCTTGGGCAAGCCTTATTTCTGATAAGAGCTGTTCTTGAAAAAGAGCAGTTTCTGTCAAGAGCTCTCTCAGCCCCACCTACCTTACAGGGTGTCTGTTGTGGGGAGGGGAAGAGAAAGGAGTTTGTAAGCCGCTCTGAGACACCTTTGGGTAGTGAAGGGCGGGGTATAAATCCAATCTCTCTTCTTCTTCTTCTATTTGTACCCTGTCATTTTACCCCAATGAGGACTTAAATCTGCTTACATAGTTCCTTCATTTTACCCTCTCAACTACCCCATGAGGTTAGTTAGGCAGGCTGAAAGTATATGACTGACCCAAGGTCACCCAGCAAACTTTGTTGGCAGAGTGAATCTGAATTTCCGAGATCCCATTCAAACACTCTAACCACTATACCATGCTGGCTTTGTACAACTGTAATGACATCATGCAGTGGTCCTTCAAAAAATCAAGGCCTCACAGACCATTTTCTGCCATGCTTTATCTGGTCTTTCAAAATACTAGAACCATAGAATAAAATTGTGAGACATAAGCAGAGCCACAGCAGGGTATGAAAGAAAAGGAAAACCTAAAAACACTTTCCTGGAATTAAACCTCATTGAATAGACCTGAGTAGGAGTTTGAGTGCTTCTTAGGATTGCTCATTAAGTGATTTAGAGGGTGGGACTATGAGTAGATTGATAGTTACTAATATTGCTTGAGAGTTCCTTATTGGTCAGTGTCCAGCCTATACTAGAAGGGGGGGGGGGGGAGTGGCATAGAGAATATCACAGACCAAAATAAAGAAGGTGGGACTGAATAGTGTTTGTAGATAAAGTAGGTAAGTAAGGAGCAAAAGATGTGTAAAGAAATCTGTATGATGAAGAAATGTGAGTGTAAGAACAAGAAAAAGACTTATTTGTAAAATTTAGGAGTGGAAGTCTGAATGAAAATATGGGAAAGAAGCCTAATTCTATATATATTTGCTAACTGAACACATGGGGGCTTTTCTCTCAAGTATTTGCATGCACAGCCAGACATCCTGCTTCTATGAAATGCTAGATATGGGAAACCTGTGTTAACCAAAGGGTGTAAGTTTGCCTAATTTGGACTATAAGAGCCATAAAATTGCATGTGTGTGGTCTTTGAGGGGTGAAAATACTGCAAGAGAGACAGGTATGAATAAATTAAATGAACGTTGATGTGTATGTACAAGTGGTGTCTGACAGGCAATGCATTTTCAAAGTATTTAAAATTATTTATTGTTTCTCTTAATGCCTCAGAATTTGAGTTGGCTTACACTAAATTGGAACATTCTGTATTGAATGAGAGCCAATGGGGAGGGTCTGGCTTTGCAAACACTAGAACAAGGGGAAATGGTATCACAAGTGAGGCACTGAGGCAAGGAAATCCTGACCTTGTTGTTCTTTTATTTTAATGAGGATTTCAGTGGCAGCAATCCTGAACCATTAAAATACTTTCCTGGGGTTAAACCTCATTAAATAAACCTGAGTAAAACTTTGAGCTCGTTTTTTAGGATTGTTCATTAAGTGATTTAGAGGGTGGGGCTATGAGTAGATGAGAGCAATGCTCCCTCTAAGCTATGGAGTCCTGTGAGCAAAAATTCTACTTTGTGAGCTACTGACATTAACGTTGTGAGCAGGTCATTTGGCGACTGCATGAATTAGTTTGCTTTGGAGCCATTCTTCCTGAGCTAAGAAAAAATATGTGAGCCAGAGGCTAAAAAACTTTGAGCTAGCTCACACTAACTCAGCTTAGAGAGAACACTAGATAACAGCCAGTTTGGTGTAGTGGTTAGATGCATGGTTTGATTCCCCCACTTCTCCACATGCAGCTGCTGGTGTGACCTTGGGTCAGTTACAAGTTGTTTCAGAGCTGTTCTCTCAGGAGCAGTTCTCAAAAGAGCTCTCTCAGCTCCATCTACCTCACAAGGTGTCTGTTGTGGGGAGGGGGAGGGAAAGGAGATTGTAAGCCACTCTGAGACTCATTCAGGTAGTGAAGGGCGGTATAAATCCAACCTCTTCTCTTCTTAAAATTTCTAAGAACCGTGTTATAAAATATGAAGTGTTTTCTCATCAGTAAAAATCTAGAAGTTTGACGGGGTACAAACCTATTTCCTACTCATTTTTTACAGTGAAATAATGAACTGTCAGGAAGGAACAGGTGTACTCTCAACAACATGTAGTGTGACTGAATTAACTTTGCCCCTTGAGTTATCAGAGGTATCCAGAGCTAAAGAGCATCATGAGGGAGAGGTGAGCTGTTTGCTGTTCAACTTTATGTTGACATTAGTGTATGTGTATCCCCCCCCCCTTTCTGTCCACTGTAACAAAGTCCTTGAAAATGAAATCCCTTTCCCCTAGTTGTGGTCATTGTTTAGAAATATCAAAGGAGGAATAAATAAAGATTCCTAATGATGCAAATTCAAATTATTCTTATGTAAAATAGAACTTGTATGGGAAAGGTAATGAGTCTTAAAACTAGAATCAAAATGAGATATTCTTTTGCATGTTTTTGCAGGAGGTAAGAAGGCAGAGAGACAGATTGTTAGTTGAAAAGACACAGTAAAGCAACTATACTAGTCTTCAGAAATGTGTATCTTATCCTGTGAAACGTGGTGATTTATATTAAATGTTTAACCATTCAGAAAATATGGATGTCCCACACCATAAAACTTCTACTTTAATTCTCTCTCAGCCTAACTGAGGAGAAAACTATGTTATTAAGCAACTTTGTGTCCTCATTGAGAAAACTGGTGTGTATATATCATCCCTTCCCTTTCAGTTTGCCTTTTTGGAACCTGTAATCCCCCCCTGGAATGTGTGGGATCAGGGATGGTGGTAATGTCTACCATAACTAATAGTGTAAAGTGGCCCAGCCATGAGTCCCATTAACTACTGCATGGAGATTATAGTTCTACCAGACAAATCAAGCTTTCTTGTTATTGTTTCTGCAGATGATGTCTCATGCGAACTCCTTGCATCATCACTGTGCTTTGTGGTTTCAGTAAATAAAAGCTCAATGTGTTGGATCCTATGAAAAAAGTTTGAGTATAATGGCACCTTTAATACCAACAAAGTTTTATTTAAGGTATAAGCTTTTTGTGTGCATGCACACTTCTTCAGATACAATGAAATGGAAATTACCAGTCCATACATATAGGTAGAGGGTGAGCAGCAAATTAACATACAGCATAATGAAGATGTTTAACAAATTCAAGGACCAAACAGGAAAAACAGGCTTAGTTTATATGGTTACCATTTGTTTGGGTTTAATTCTGGGGGGAAACATAGTGAAGGGAATAAATATGTCAAAAGTGGAGATTACTTATTTATTTTTTTATTTATTAATTGCATTTATACCCCTCCCCCCACAATACTTGTGGAATGCCGCAGTTACAATTAATCTCCACTTTTGGCACATTTATTTTGTTCACTATGTTTTCCCTCAGAATTAAACCCAAACAAATGGTAACGATATAAACTAAGGTTGTTATTCATGTTCGGTCCTTGAATCTGTTAAACATCCTCATAATACCATATGCTAATTTACTGCTACTGCTCACCCTCTACCTATATGTATGGACTGGTACATTGTGTCTGAAGGAGTGTGCATGCACATGAAAGCTTATACCTTGAATAAAACTTTGTTGGTTTTAAAGGTGCCACTGGACTCAAACTTTGTTCTGCTGCTTCAGACCAATATGGCTACCCAGTTGAATCTATCTTCTTGGATCCTATGGTTATTTTTACCAGTTCAAGAATATTTCTGTTCGCTGAGAAGGGAAAAATTTCCTTCCCACTGCAGTCCCCCATATTGTGCCTAGTGCTATTTCCCTGGTGGTTCCTGGTGTGTGTGTGTGGGGGGGAGGGTTGCCAAGTTGATCTTCGCCGGGAGCAGGGGCTCCCAGCTGGCGTCTGGTGCATGCGCCGCACACACATCACCCGGAAGTGACGGGAGGACGCCAGGCACGCTGGGGGCGGGGGCGACGCTGTGGTTTTCCCTTGTATGGCTGTGGCCCTGCCCCCAGCATGCCCGGTGTCCTCCTGTCACTTCCAGGTGATGCGCACGTCGGGGAGGTGTTCCCCCCGGGGCTCGATCCGGCGCCGCCAGGGAACGGGCCTCTGGGGCGGGGGTTTCCCCGCCCCCCGGGGAGACTTGGGATCCCTTGTGTGTGTGTGGGGGGGGTAGCTACAGAGCACACAGTGGACTACAGCTGAAGGAGGGAAGTTTCACAGGCAGCTGAATTCATAGAGTGAATGACCAGTAAACTGAGCCAAGGTCCTTCTGTTCCAAGATTTAGTCTTGTGTCTGAATGCCAGTGGAAAGATGTTTAATAATATTTGAGAATGAGAAGTTTTCAGACTGAAGAGTGCACCTGGAGGGACAAGAAGTGAAGTTGGGTGAATCATGAAGACAAGTGAGGGAATACTTAAGACTGTACTGAAGGCTCGAGATGCACAGCTCACAAGTTTGTGGCATCTTTGCCTAATGGTTGTTAATCCCATCCTTAATTTTTTTTAGGATGTATGTCAGCTACTGAAAGTGTACTTGAGAGTGCGGCCCTTCTCCAAGGCAGAGCTTGAAAGCAATGAAAATCAAGTGAGTTGTACAGCTTATCACTAGTGGGGTGTGTGCATGTAGACTCAGTTTCAGAATTGAATCTATTGTGCTCCATCCCTACCAGTGCAGATACAAGAATGTAGCTTTGACTTACTTTGTACTTAGAAGTAGTCTTTATGAAGATTCAGAGAGCGTCAACTCAAGCCTCAATACTGCAGGATATGGTGAAGGGACATGACAACCGGGGGAGTGTTTAATGACTGAAGTAGGATAACCAGAACAAGTAGAAATTGAGAAAATTAGACACAATGAAAGCATGTTAGGAAACATGCCCTCTTGGAACAGATGACTTCAAGAGGTGTGTTTAAAATCATACAGCACATAAAAAAAACCCTTTTGGCTTAAAATGAAATTGAAGTTCACCTTGCTCACCAAGAACAATACCAACAAGACAAAATGAACATTAAACAAAGGACGTATAAATAGAACTACATTGGTGTTCTCCACGCTTTTCTGAAAGGTGGAAGAGTCTAGGATCATTGCTGTCTTGATTGGTTCCCTTTGGAGGAGGAATGCTAGAGTGTATTTGTAATATTTATTTTATTTGCAAATGTACAAGTAAAGCTTAAGTGGAGGCCAAGGGGGATTCCTGCTAACCACCAACGGATCCTTGGAAGGGGATTGAAGTGGAACTATAAAATGTATTTATTTAAGAATATTATATACTAGTTTTCTGAAAACAATCATTCAAAATGCTTCCATCAGCTCACAGCTTCTTTCTGGCTGTGATCACACACACTAAATAATCCACTTTCAATATACTTTTCAACTGGATTGTACTGTGTGAACTGGCAAAATCCAGTTGGAAAGTGGACTGAAGGTGGATTATTTCGTGTGTGTGATCACAGCCCCTGTTTGCTTCTGCTGTTTTCGTGCCACATACAAACATGTCCCTTCCCCTCTTTCCTCACCTGGAAGAAGTAATTCTCCTTCATGCTCTGATGGTACTTGACAGAGCTCTTTGAGTGCTTAAAACATGTTGGAGGTGTTAATTTTAGCAGATGAAGTACACTTCAGGAAATTTATTTAAAGTCACTCGTTTGCTGCTAAGGACTGCTTAACGATTGAAAACCAAGAAACGGTAACTCTTCGTGCACCTAAAGAATCAGCTGCAATGAAGAACAGCGAAAAGGGAATTGGGCAATGTGCACATCGGTTCACCTTTACTCGGGTAAGATTACCTGCCCTTGGAGGGGAAAATATACTTAAGGCATTGTAACACTGCACACTGGTCCAGAGTGCTTATTTGGAAGTCAGTCTATGGCATCTAGCTTAGGCCAAAGTAAATTGCACCCCTAAATGCATAACCAGATAAAATGTGGGCCACTTTTCTATATGAGACTGAATAAAAAATTGAAATCTGTAATACCATACTTGGGGAGATTCAATTAATAGAACTTTTATTTATCACTTAAATTTTGATTATTTTTTAAATCTCCCACACCTTTTCTTGGAAGGAGCTTAGGGTGCTATGATTGGTGTTTGCCCTTGTTGCCCATTTTATCTTTCATGATAACCCTGTGAGGTACATTAGGCTTATGGAGAATAACTAGCCCTAGGTCATCCAGTAAGCTTCATTGTGAGACTCCCTGCTCTAACCATTACAGCATACTGTCTCTCAAAGTGGCAGTAGATCTGATTGCTGTGTAGGCATCTTAGCAAAGATGCCCATATGCAAGCAAAACAACTTGCTCTTCCCTCAGTGACACTATAACTCTGGTATTCTCTCTTTAGGTTTTTGGACCGGATAGTACTCAAAGTGAATTTTTTGAAGGCACAATGAATGCGATACTAAAAGCATACACCAATGGAGTGAATGGACTTGTGTTTACCTATGGTGTTACTAATGCTGGCAAAACATTCACTGTTCACGGTACATTCGCTGTTCACAGTTCTATTCAAGAAATACACAATTTAAAAGCTCTAAAAGCTATAGCGTGTAACACAAGAAATTCGATGTTTTCGCAGGTTGTCCAAAAGATGGTGGTATTCTGCCTCGTGCTCTTGAAATGATCTTCAGTCATGTAAGAGGAAGACAGTATCAAAAGATGGACTTAAAGCCATGCTTCAGCAATCTTATCAAGAGGCTGGATGATATGCAGACTAAGCGAGAGGAATCCATAAAAGCTGCGCTCCTTGCCTCTTTGAAAGAGGTCAGTGGCAAGCAGGGTTCTCTATTACGTTTTGATGTTACCATGCATTAAAACTATTTAATGGTAGAACTATGTTATTGTAAGGGCAACATGGAGTTTTCAGCCATGTCTTTCTGTTGTACTTGTGTTGACTTAAAACTGCAAAATCTGCCTTGAATCTCAGAGAGACAGGTGGACTATAAGTAAAGTAATAATGACGTTAAATTTGTGGGCTGTTCTTGTATATAAAAATATTTTTGAAATACCAAGTTTGAAAATGTATTAATTGATAGTTTTATATCTTGTACATACTAGCACAGCATAACAACTTGATACATATTAGAACATCATTGACATTAACCTTTTTATGTTTATCAAGGAGCCTGATCATTCTTTGAAGTGTACCACAACTTCAGGTACATCAGATTCACCTTGTAGTAACTGTAGCTCACCCAGTCTTCCTTTGGATCAATTAGGTAACTGCTAAATGTTTATGGTTAATAAAATACTTTTGGAAGTATTGTTATGCTATGGTATGTGAATGATATCAAAGTACATAAGGACATAAGAGAAGCCAATGTTGGATCAGGCCAATGGCCCATCTAGTCCAACACTCTGTCACACAGTGGCCAAAAATACCAGGTGCCATCAGGCGGTCCAGCAGTGGGGCCAGGACACTAGAAGCTCTCCCACTGTTGCCCCCCCCAAGCCCCAAGCACCAAGAATACAGTGCATCACTTGCCCCAGACTGAGAGTTCCTATCTATACCTTGTGGCTAGTAGCCACTGATGGACTTCTGCTCCATATGCTTATCTAATTCCCTCTTGAAGCTTTCTTGAAGGATTAATTTCCATAAGGAATGAGGGAAATTAATGTGGAAGTATGTATTTTGGTCCAAATGTTTTGAATCAAAGTTGTTAAAGATACATAAGTATAATTGTGTGCTACATACATAGTTGCCCTGGTTTAGACGCATATCTTTCCTGAGAGAGTGCCTGTAGATGTGGACAAATAATGTGAACACTGACCTTTGTTTGGTTACACTTAAAAGCTACGGATGTTTTTGAGTTATTCTGTTCTTTTTCTACTTCTGGTTAACAGACCAAAGTAATGAACTACTAGATTCTGAGAGGGGTAGCAGGTATCAGAGAACACTGTTGTCTATCTGGGTTTCTTTCTTTGAAATCTACAATGAGTACGTTTATGAACTACTGGACTCACTGCCAACATCAAAAAATCAAAAGCGTAAAGTTCTAAGGATCTGTGAGGATCAAGGAGGAAGTTCTTATGTAAAAGGTAACAATAACCCTCAAAGGTTATGGGTTCAGTGCAGTGATTAACTCTTGGATGGGGGATCTTAGAACACACTGATTAGTATTGGACGAATGGTCCACCAAACTGAATATTCTGTTAGATGCTGGCCACCTTCAAACGCACGGGGAAGCTCTTGACACCAGGGGGTGCTGCTAATCGTACTCTTTTCCTTGTAATTGATATTGCTGTGAGCCTTGCAACAGCTGCCACTTTGCTATTTGGGGGGCAGAGGTACTTCAAACATATTTTAGCTATTACGTTTTTAAACTCAGCACATATGGTTACTTCTCATCCTTAGTAGTAGAAGGCAGGAGCACCAGGTACCCCAATGAACCACAACTGTTGCATCCTACCACTCATGTCAGCATGGAGGTTTCAGTTGGCCAAAGGAGTTGCTTGTGTTAATGGATGACTTTTTTTGCTGACAGAATGTACTTTCCTTAACTGAGTAGTTAAGGAAATGGTATGTAAGGTGTAGAGATGCTTTTTACATTACACTAATGATTATCAGTGTTCAGAGCTTTGTTGACTTCCCTGCACTGAGCTGATCATCATGATGCCATTTATGATGACAAAGATACTTTAATGTTAAACGTGGTCCCCAAAGTTGTACCCAAGAGGTAACTTTCCTCTAAACACATTACTTCACATTGTTGATGCTGAATTTGTGTTGTGAAATCCATTTGGAACTCTAGTTGGAAATTTTCACTATGTGATCTAGACTATATTATCGAGATTATTATCCCTATATTATCCCTTTTCTCAGACTGTTACTTTTAAAATATGTTATGCTGTGTTTAAACAATTTTGAAACAACATTCAAGGCAATCTAATAAACAGCTTAATGTAAGGCAGTCTTCCATTTCTAGATAAATTAACACTTGTGTGATATAATCTAGAAAACATTCCAAAACAAATAGTAAATAACAAGTGGAGACCTGCAAGAAACTTGCGGGATGGTTATCTAATTTGTCACACCTTCTCTTACACATATCACCCCCTACCTCTCTCACACTATTTCTCCCCTCTGCCCCCCTTTTCTTACTCTCTATTTCTCCTCCATGCATGTGACTTCCTTCATCACTCTTTCTCTCTCTTTCTGCCCCACCCACCATTCTTTCTTTCTGCCCCCATCACTCTCCCAGCCTCCTGCCTGCTGGTGGAGGAGACCGGGGACAGAAGGGGGAATTGGCGGGGATGGTGGGGGAAGCTTACCTGCTGCTGCTCCTGCTTCCTCCTCCTCCTGCTCTGCGTGGAGCTCTCCCCCCACGAGTATCATGGGTCCCCTTTCTTCCAGAGCCGGGGGGGGAGGAGACCGGCAAGGCCTGGCGGCTGCAAGGCACTCAAGCCTCACTTCCAGAGCCGAGGGGGAGATTGACGAGACCCGGCAGCTGGCAGCCACTCAGGCATTTCCCCCTGAGCCAGGGGTGGTGGTGGAGGAGGAGGAGGAGACCGTGGACAGGGGGGAATCAGTGGGGATGGGGGGAAGCTTACCTGCTGCTACTGCGTCCTCCTCCTGCTTCCTGTGAGGAATACTCCCCCCGTGAGTATCGCGGGTTCCACCTCCCCAGCAGCAGCAACCGCTGCAGTCGCCGAAGAGCCAGCGCTGTCCGAAGACGTTTCCGTGGTCATGTGGCTGGCATGACTAAACACCGAGGCGCACGGAACGCTGTTACCTTCCCACCGAAGTGGTCCCTATTTATCTAATTGCAATTTCTTGCTTTCGAACTGCTAGGTTGGCAGGAACTGGAACTAGAGATGGGAGCTCACTCCATCATGTGGCACCCGGGTCTCGGAACTGCTGAACTACTGACCTTCCACAGCCTGCAGTTCAGCATCTTAACCACTTGAGTGGTTTTATAGTGTACTGCTTTTATTTAGCCATTTTCTGCCTTTAGTATACACAAATTAAAAATAATTTAAAAAATATTTTCTTATCCTAGACTTGAAGTGGATCAACATAAAGAACATAGATGAAGCTTACAAAATTCTTAAAATAGGAAACAAAAACAGAAGTTTGTCATGCACTAAGACAAATCAGCAATCAAGCAGAAGGTTTGTTATTTCTATTTGGCATACCCCATAACTGTTATTGTCTGTCCTCCCTGGTTGTGGTATTGTTGATGTGTTTTGATAGAAATTTTATCATTTTAAAATGTTTTTAATTGTTCTAATATGTTTATGTGTTCCACCGGATTGGGTGGAAAGATGGCATCAAAATGTTTAAATCCACAAGCTGATACCAGCTCTAGGGCCTCAAACCACAGAACTGTATACATATGGGGTTTTTGAAAATAGCTGTGTTGTCTACAGTAAAACAGTTTTGAGTCAAGTATCACTATGTGGCAAGGTGTTTTGGAAGTCATATACAGCACAAGGCACATCTGGTCAAAAACACTTAATTTGCTTGATGTATGCAAGTCATGAACAATATCTAAAGGCATTCTCACTTGCATCTTGCACATAATACATCTTCCTGTTAAGGAAAGAAGTTGGGTGGATGCATCTTTGCATGTGGAGATTGTTGGCAGAGTTCAGGAAATAATCCAATCCACACTTTGGAGTTTGCATTCAATGAGTTTATTGCAATAGGATTTTGCAAAAAGACAATAAACTGATTGCAGGTCATTAATGCAAAGGCCTTCAGAGCACAAGCACTAACACCAGGCCCGTAGCTACAGTGGGGCATCTTGGGGCCTGCCCCCCAACCTACTGCCAAGGCCCCCCAACTTCCCATCCAGCCCAGGCCCCCCAACTTCCAATTTGGGTGTGTGGGGTGCCCCCCAACTTATTTAAAGGCCCCCTGAATTCAAAAATCCTGGCTACGGGCCTGACTAACACACAGCAGAAAAAGAAAGAACAAAAGGTAAACTGAACTGCCAAGAGAAAACCTTCAATAAACTCTGAATGCTAGAGAATGTGCCACAGCTCCCCCTAGGGTACATTCCTACATACCACAGTGCCGTGCTTGACAGCAGCAGTGGCACATTTACTTCCAACGATTAGTCTAATATGGATATTTCAAACAGGGCCTTCTGTTTCTTATAGGTCTTATTTCAGAGAGACTCTAAGATCTAGATCTGTGGGATAAAAGAAAACATTATGACATTTGAAAATAATGACACATTTTAAGTAAGGTGTCTTCTGTTCTGTGTCCAGAGGAAGTTTGAGGCCAAAATACTTGTTCTGTACGACATGAGTTGGGTCATGGAGCTTGACCTGAATGTAACATATTCAAGTGGGGACTATCTTTTAAAAATCTCTCCATCTGTTTGCATATCTTTGAACACTGAGACGGAGAAGGAGGAACTTCAGGCTTCCCTCCTGCATAATCCGTTGCCAGTGACAATGGCCACATGGTGCCTTTTGCCCTTTCCTTGAGCTCCATGTGCTCTGGGTTGGACATGTGGAGACCAAAGAAGAGGCAAAGATGTGGCCATTTCCTCTGGTGAAAATGATGCAGGAGGAAAGCCTGAAGCCTCTTCTCTGTCACAGTATTTGGAGCTACATGGAATGATGAAGGAATTTTTAAAGGTTAGTCTGCTTGTGAACATATGACTGAGTCTGGTTGGGTATTGGTGACCTGACTCATGTCATATGTAATGCAAATCCTATTAGAAAAAGATGAGATGGGTGTTTTAGTAAATGACTCTTAAGGATGACAACTAGCATGTTTCTGTACTTTTCTAGCCACAGCATCTTTTCTATCAGACTAATCAGCTTGACTGATGAGACTATACCACATGTTCTTGGAGTCTCTGAGTAAGTGTTGTCTCCATTTTGCTAAACTATACTTATGGTGGTGGTGAAAAGTGCCATCAAATTGCAGCTGACTTATGGCAACCCCATGGGGTCTTCAAAGCAAGAGACATGCAGATGTGGTTTGCCAATGCCTATCTTTGTGTAGCAACCCTGGACTTCCTTGGTGGGTCTCCCATCCAAGTACTAACCAGAGCTGACCCTGCTCAACTTCCAAGATCTGATGAGATCAGGCTACCTTGGTCCATCCAGGCCAGGGCTAGCATATGTTTTTTCTCAGTAATGAGGAGGTTCTAGCAAAATGTCAGAGGGCAAAGAAGTACTCTAAATCTATGGTAAAAATAAAGTGCACTTTACTAGTCCAGTGTGAAAAATAGAGTAAAAAAAAATCTAGGGGATTGTGTGACACCAATTGTAAAGAAAACTATTTACCCTTTTAACATTTCCCTGTGACAGCAAACAGAACAGTTACAAAGAAGAGAACATCATAAAATTAAGAAACTATAATTTTGTGAATTTAATTCTTGTGGTTTTCTGTTTCCCATTGAATTCATGGAGTAAAATAACCAACACAATTTGTATATACACTGCAATTAACACACTATTATAAATGTGGAAGGTGTGAAACACCAGAGGGAATTTGGCCTCACTAAATCTGAAGTTGTAGAGGATTAAAAGCACAAGTTTTAGTTACTTCCCCATACTTCTTCAGGTCAATTTGACCTCACTATCTGGGCGAGTTTTGTGTTCATTTGTTTGTCTTACTTTGGAATACTTTTTCTTGGTGCAGGCGCTCTCATCTTGAAGGAACCTTATGAAACAGTGTCTTTACCTTGGGGTTCTCATGGTTTTGCTTTGCAGTACTGAAACCATTCTGCCTCTCTCTCTCTCTCTCTGTGTGTGTGTAGGTAGGCAGGTAGAGTACAGTAGAGTAGCTTGCTTCCTTAAGAGATTGATAGGAAAACTCAGAAACACATGATGCTGGATTGGGGCATCCCTATGGTTTATTTCTGGCTCTTCACTTTTCTATTTATGTCAATGTTAAGTGGATCACTTTGACTTCCAACAAACTTTCACTTGTTAAAAAACACTGGCTGTCAGTTATAGTACCAACCTGTTTCAAGTAAAATAACAAGTTTTAACTTTAGGTATTTATTTGTGTAGACTCTCTTTGTGTGACCTGGCTGGATCAGAACGATGCAATAAAACACAAAGCTTTGGAGACAGGCTTAAAGAAGCAGGCAATATTAATAATTCTCTTCTTATCCTTGGGAAATGCATTGCAGCTCTGAAACAAAATCAAAATCCTACGTGAGTGTGAAAATAAAATTTTGGAAACTGGTTAAGTGTTTTATATCTGGTGTCATTGTTATGTGTTTGCCATGTCCCCAAGTCCTGAGAAGTCCAGGACAGCAGCACTACAGGTTTAGTTTCTTTTGGGTAAAGCAGCAGTGGAGGCTACATAAACTGTTTTATTTACACAAGTTCAGCTTCATCGAAGTTCAAGCTTTCAAGTCAGTTTTCCCTTATGATAAGAGTTTTAGAAGGATTTGGCGCTTTTTATGCTGACAAATAAAAAAGAACATAGTTTTTATGCTGCTGTGTGTTATTTGTTCAGTTGCAATTTTATTGTTAGCTGCCTCAGACACATTTATGGAAAGAGAGCAGAGTATAAAGTATTTTAAATGCACAGATTCAACATGTGAATGCTTTGGGCTTGATGAGCAGACATGTGATTTATTGTCAGCAGTTCAACAGGCTGTTTTTCTGGCTGTGTCCATCATTGCCACTCTTGCTTGCTCTGTCTGAGGAGTGACTTAGCACTGGGAGTTGCCAGTTTCCCATTCCCAGTGTGTGGAGGGGAGGAAAGAAGATGAGAAAACGCTTAAATGTAGCTGAATTTAATGACCTGAGTATTCCAAAGATGGAAAACAAATAGCCTATATGACTGGATACCCATCTGGTGTTACTACTGATTTTTATCTTGGCATTAATTTTCATACTATTTTCTCTTAAAGGTTAAGGCAGGCATATATTCCCTTCAGAGAAAGTAAGCTAACCCGCTTATTTCAACCATTCTTTTGTGGTAAAGGCAAAGCTTGTATGATAGTTAACATTAACCAATGTGCCTCTACGTATGATGAGACCCTGCATGTAATGAAATTTTCCGCTGTAGCTAAGCAAGTGAGTAAGATTTTATTTATATAGATATTTTATGCCCTGCTTTTCTTTCCAGTTGGTATCTGAAGTGGCTTTACATCATAATTCCTCCTGTTTCATTCTCATAACAACCTTGTGAGGTAGGTCAGGCTTGAGAGAGAGAGTGACTGGCCCAACATCATCCAGTGAGTTTTCATGGCAGAGTGAGGACTCAAATCTGGGTTTGTCAGGTCCTAGTCTGAAGCTGAAACCACTATACCACAAGGGCTTGCTGATTCTGTTTTCTCCAAAACAAAAGCTTGATTGTTTCTCTGCTATACGAATAGTGAGAAATGGGGGTCTGGTCACAATTCAAAAACACATCCAGTTTAATCCAAAATCCAGCTGTCAAAAGGAATCTGCTTCTGAATATACATGTATATAATTGGGAGGCAAATGTGGATTTGAACAGGCACTCACAGATGATGAACTTGTATAGAACACATTCTGTTAAAGAACATTCTCATTTCCTTGAATGAAGAAAGTCATTATTAGCAATAGTTAAATGCCACTTCAGTGTATTCCCAACTTCTTTAAGTAGGTTTCTAAGACAAATAACCCAAAACTAAAAGATGTAGCTCCCTATCCTAGCAGGTGCTGTCATTGTATGAAGTACTGTGTTGAAACTGTTGCCCGTGTCCTCCTCCAGTGCTCTCCCTATTTGGCGTCCTGTCGGGATCTTCTATATCCCATATTAGGCCAATTTTTAGAGACCCCCTGATGATTTTAAACTTTTCTTGCTTGATAATCCAGATACAGAAATAACTGAAATAGTAGCAAAGTTTCTCTGCAGTGCCATGGTCCTACGGCCTGATAAGTGATATTATGAATTAGGTTTTATTATGATGTTACTCTGTGATGTTACTCTGCAATTTTAATTTTACTCTGCATGATTTTGTATTTAGATTACTGTATCTTTATTTATATGCCAATAAAAGGCTTTGGATTTTAAAAAAAAAGATGTAGAGAAACAGAGTGTTTATCTTGATTTTGGGCCATTGTAACAATCTTTTCCCCCTCCAGATTATTCAAACATTTCAACCTAAAATCTTTGATTATTTCCCCCCACAATACAGTGGGAGGGAAGGTAAGCCTGCAGTACAGTCGGATGACATATCTGCTGAGGAGCTTCCAGATGATACTAATATATCCTCCTCTTCCTCTGAAGAAGAAATAGATATTAGCATTATGACACATGAGGTAACTTAAAGCTATCTTGCTGCTTTTATTTGTCTGTGCAGTTTTTCAAACCAGTCTACATTGGTCATAAAGGCAGTGATAAAAATGTTATGAATCTCTAGGTTGTTACAAGATTAGGCTGTGTTATAAATTGGTGGTGGTTGTGCTTAACAGATCTTGGTCAGATTTCTTCCTTAAGTGCTGTAGGCAGGAACTTGCTTGACTAGGCTAAGAACTGAACCCCCTAAAGGAGGAAGTTTTAGCAGTGACTGTTGCTGTGCTCCCTTTATTCTTAACATGCTGCTCGAATTGATATGTTGGGTTTTTTAGCCATTTTATTTAGCCTTTATTAGCCGCCTTTCTCTCTTGTGGAACTCAAGGAGGCTTACAATATAAGTAAAATAATTATTAGAACCATAACAATTATAAAAACACATAATAGGTCACAATTTAAAAACTCCAGTTAGGACTGCCAATAAATAAAAACTAAGTTAGTCAAAAGCAGCCCTAAATAAAACTGTCTTCAGCTGCCTTCTGAAGGTTGATAGTGAAGGGCCAGGCACACCTCCCTGGGGAGCTTGTTCCACAATCATGGAGCTGCCATTGAAAAGGCCCTTTCTCATGTGGCATCTCCTGTGAACATAATCCCTGAGCTGGAATGTATAGGAGACTATGGGCCTTCAGATACCATGGTCTCAAGGACAAAACCAACATCTTGAATTGGGCTTGGGAGTGGATCGGTAACCAGTGCAGCTCCTAGAAACAGGCCCAGATCATCAGTCTAGCTGCAGCTTCCAAACACTCTACAAGGGTAGCCCCAAGTAGAGCCCATCACAATAGTCCAGTCTAGATATAACTAAGTCATGGATCACTGTGACTAGATCTGACTGAATCAGGAACAGGCATAGCTGGGCAGAAGTACTCCGAGCCACTGCAGCCACCTGGTTTTTTAAGATGACCACGATGTCAAGCAGCACTTCCAAGCTGTGAACCTAGTTTTCCAGAGGGAGCATAACCCTATCCAAGCCAGGAGGGATCTCATATTCCTGGGCTTCCTTTCTACTGACCCATAGAACCTCTATTTTCTCAGGATTAAGTTTCAGTTTATTCACCCTAATTACTGACTCCAAGCACCGGTTCAGAACATCAACAGCATCCTTGGAATTAGGTAGAAAAATGTAGAGCTTCATATAGATATTAAATAGCATGGGGGATAAGATGAAATCCTGTAGCACCCACAGGCCAACATCCATGGACCTGAGCAGGAATCCCCCAATGCTGCCTTCTGAGACAACCCCCTAACTCAAACCACCATAACACAGTACCCCATGGTCCCTGTGCTGAGTGGTGGCTCCTTAGGCTACTATGGTCAGTGTTATTAAAGGCCATTGAGAGAATCCACCAGAATTAGCAGGGTCACATTCTCCCAGTCTTGTTCTCATCAGCCTTGGCAACCAAAGCAGTCTCTGTTCCCAATCCCAGCCTGAAGCCAGACTGAAATAGATCCAGAGAATCAGTCTCTTTGAAGAGCCCCTGGAGCTGAGAAGCAGCCTGCCCACTCAAGGACCTTGCCCAAGAATGGAAGATTCCAACATAGTAGGGCTCAAAACAGTTCTGATCACTGCCTCCTTGAGTATGACCAGCACAACTCCAGTTTATCCACTTAGCCAATCTACTGGCAGCTTTTATTGGCCAGGAAGGATGAGGGTCAAATATATAGATGTTAGGTCTAACATGTCCAAGGATCTTGGCCACATTCTCGGGATCCATAAACGGAAAAGTATCCATATAAATTGGAAAGCAGATGCCAAAGGTACATCATCTGAACAACGGCATCTAATCCAAAGTGGATCATGTGGACAGAGTCCACATTTGAGGGACTATGATGTAGAGTCCCTGAACTACAGGAAACAGCTTAGCTGGATGATTACATGCAGATGCAATGGTGGCACAGAAATTCTGCCTTTTCACTGTCATCACCATCACAGAACAGGCTCTAACGGGGGCATAGGTTGTGTTTGATCAGTCTTGCTCTGAGTTTTCCACCAGCAGTACTCTAGCCCATCGTCCCTCCTGTTTCATTGCCATCAGCTCCCCAGTGAATCAGGGAGACTGCTTGGCTCTGTCTGGGGGTGGGAGGGGCTTAGGAGCGATTGTGTCAATAGTCCAGGTCATCTCCCTATTCCAGAAAGTGGTCAGAGCCTCAATGTAATCCTCAGCAACCAAGGCAGGAAAATTCCCAAGCACTGACAGGAACCCATCAGGTTCCATCTGGCGCCTGCAGCATAGCATTACAATGAGTCTAGCACTCTTGTGGAGGACAGAGGAAGCAATAAATCTGATCGTTGCTATGAACCCAGCCACCTGATGTGCCCACTGAGCTCCTGTCTTTGCTTCTGAGTGAACATTTGTACGGTATGCTTTTTGCATTTATAGGTAGGTACAATTAATTCATGTTATAAAAACCTTGGGAACTAGTGGAATCTTAGTGCACTCACTGCTGAAGGAGAGAAGAGTCTTGCCAGTTGAAAGAGGTTCAGTGGAACTCTGATCCTAAATGCTTGCGCCTTGACATTGCCCCCCCCCACCGGCTCCGAGGCGAGGCCCGAGCGGCATGCATTTGTGATATAAGCCCTAGTGTGTCTTCTTGAGAAAAAATAAATATAAGACAGTGTCTTATTTTCGGGGAAACACAGTATGCTTTTTGCATTTATAGGTAGGTACAATTAATTGATGTTATAAAAACCTTGGGAACTAGTGGAATCTTAGTGCACTCACTGCTGAAGGAGAGAAGAGTCTTGCCAGTTGAAAGAGGTTCAGTGGAACTCTGATCCTAAATGCTTGCGCCTTGACATTGCCCCCCCCCACCGGCTCCGAGGCGAGGCCCGAGCGGC